TAGCTCATTATTCCTCTAGCTGTCACACTTTTTCTAACTCTATTTATGATGTCTTTCACTCTCTTGCTCTCTTATTTCATCTTCATAAACTAAGGCTTCGTTTGGGATGATTTTTTACTATTTTTTAAAGTAACTTTTTAGTATAATTTTTTTTAGTTTAAAAAATTTTTATACTTAAAAATTGTTTAAAAAAATCAGTAAAAAAATCATTCCTAACGAAGCCTAAGATTGATTTATCATGAGATCAATCAATATAACGTTACCTAAGCTATCAGCGCTGCCCATCAATTTCCGTGATAAGTACATTCAACAAATTTTTTGAGATATTTTCATACTCGATTGATATATATCTCAAGTATTTGAAACTATTGGTCTGCTATTGTAGACATGATTGATATGCCAATGGTTTTACGTACTAACTTGTAATGAATTTGTTTGAGAGAAGACAATAATGCGTATCTTGGAATTTTTAAGTCAAATTTTGTTTGAAAAAGATGAGACTGGCGGGCATGTGTTGGTGCTATGTCACTATTAGCGTACCAATGATTTGTTGTTAGATTGATTTTCTTACCATACTTCAAAATATCGACATTTAATAATCTTTGATATTTCTTTTGCATAGGCCGTTGATTTAGTTTGCTAAAAAAGAAAAAGAATTCGGCATAAGAAATGCAGTATAAAAGAAATATTTTAGAGTTGTTTGGATGAGTGTAAAGTAAATTCAGGTAAATAATTTTTTTTTTTTGTTTGAAGTAAAATAAATGAAGTATAAAGTTTAAATATGGCTGCGGCGGCGGAGGGTGGCAGCTGGTCGGGATAGCCTGTGGTGGGTTGCGGTGGCCGACGGTGGTGACCGGGGTAGGTAGAGGTGGCCGGTGGCATCAAGCGAGCTTACTTGCAGTGTAAACCATTCACGCTCAAAACTGGACGAGTTTAATTTACCTCAAAAATGAACTAAAATAATTTACACAATATTTATTTTATTTTGAATTCCTTTTTCCTCCAATCAAACATCAAAATTTTCAAAACCCCTATATTTGAAATACTTTACACCCTTATGTAATTCAACCAAATAGACCCTTAATGTAAAGAGATGATTAGTGGTTTTGTATGGAAGTATTATTGTTTAGATTGTAATGATTATTTATTAGATGATTTTATTATTAATGCACTTGATGACATCAGCTTGCCCATTTTTAAAATAAGCATATTTAAAAAATGCATAAAGACTAAAATGCATTTATTTTAAAAATAAAAGTTAATTTTGTTGTGATATGTCTGTATAAAATGCATTTAATTGGCACGAAATCTTACTGCATGAATTGAAAACTTTCAAAAAAAAATTAAGGACTATTGCAGCCTTGATTTTAATAAATTTACAATCAAATTGGTATTGATAAGATGAACCTAATGACACCAAGTTGATCCTATTCTAGTCTAAATTAGCCCAAATCATGCACTTCTAGTATAGATTGAAATTTTGGGATATTAATTGAAGGATTAAATGATCTTCTAGGCTTCGTTTGTGACGACTTTCTTGCTGATTCTTAAAACAACTTTTCAGTACAAAAATTAAAATTGCTTTAAGAAGCAGTGAAAAAGCCATCCTAAATGAAGCCTTAGTAATACATGCTTTTAGTAAAATCAAGTGCTCGACAAGACCAATCCAATGAGCTCAGAATCACTCAATTTTAAGGTCATTATAGCACTTAAATACAAAATAAATGGCATATAATCAAATGATTCAATTCAGATGAGTGCTATGGAAGTTTGGCTAGAATTATTAAAATGTCACTCTTAAAATACTATAAATAGATCCGCATTCTCTACTTGGATACATCATTGACTTGGATTTCGAGAAAACTTAGAGACTTAAATAGCTCTAGTGCTCTATGTGAACTTCAACGCCAACAATTACTACTAGTCATCACCATCATCTACTTGTCTTCAGAAATTTATTAAAGATGAACATCACAAAAGTTTTAGGAAACCTCAAAGACAACAAAAAAGGTCAGCATGACCAAATAAGCAATCGATAACCCAAAAAGAGTATTATACTTAGCTTTCTGGTTAATGGAAGCTAACATAAAGATTGCTTGATAATAAAAAGATGCTCAATATATGAAGAAATTATTTTGTACGGAGTCCGGACGCAGAACGTTGTCCGGAGATCAACTAGAATGCGTCATGTCAGCGGTACCGAGCCGAGGTACTGAGCAATACCGAGCAGTATCGAGCTGCGTTACCGAGCAAAGTAGTCACGTGGCACATTCTAGTTGATCTCCAGACCACGTTCGACATCCGCAGAGAATAATTAATCCAATATATTGGGAGCACAAGACCCCCATGCGCTAAATTTCATTCAGAATGCTCTAAGTTGCTTAGTCTATCTCGACACCTTCCCCATTGTCGGATTCGTTACTCATCTCCCTCTTATTAGAGTCTTTAAAGACCATATTTAATCAACCTCGAGTGATCGAAAATTTCATTCAGAATAAGAACAACTCGCCGATTGCGAATCGAGTAGTCGATGGATTGGGGGAACGTGACGATGGAGGATCTAATCGCTAATCGACACCCTTCGAGAGGTCGAGTGGTCTTCACCCCCTTGTTTGGTCACAAAATTCTTTTCCCAATTCACCTTCCCGAGGTCTTACTCCAAATGGAACAGTCGATTGAAGTGCAACCTTTACTAGTGAGAGGATCAAATTGTGATTCATCATTTCTTTATATGGCTTCTACCCCCGCACATCGAGACTCTTGCAAACAGTTTCATCTCCAATTGTGTCAACTAGAAAACCTGACGGGTCGGGTCCGGTTTGAAATTTCTGACCCATCCACAAAAACGAGTAGAGTTCACGTCGAGTGAACCATTAACGGGTCAGTGTCGGGTTCGACCCTAGCACGACCCGTAACCCGATTTTGACACTCCTTATGTAATTAAGTCATTTGACACTTTGTTAGGTTAAAAGAATCAAATAGTATGGTGAGATGCAATTGGGTAGGGTGTATATTAACAATCAATCATAAGGTCTTTAAATTGGATATTATGGTAATGTATTCCACTTAATCAATATTAATTCAATAATCATCCACGCTGATGTTATACAACTTTTACGAAATCTTCCAAATGGAGCAAGGTTCGAACTCTCACGCTGAGTTGTTGATGCCCTGGGTGGGCTTTTATTTCTGATTAGGCTAGTCATTTTATGTTGCACTCAAGTGGTGGCTTTTGATTGCTAGATGGGTAAATGGGCTAGTGGGGAGCCATGCCCTCAAGGCCCCCGGCCCACTATAGTTTTGCCACTGGTGGGGTGTATAATTCAAACTCTGAAAGGTAGACCATAAACAATATTCTATGATATGAAAGGCAAAAATCCACTACAATCATCAACAAAAACTTTTTTAGCCTTCAACAATAAATAACATTACCAAAATTCAAAACGATAATCAATATCAACATTTTTTTTTTTTTACTGATGTTGTTATTTTTAAAGACAAAAATTATATAAAGCTATAAGCTCAAAATCATTTGATAATCTAATGTTTAACATTTTATATTATAAATAGAAAAAAATATTTTATGAATTAATTTTTAATTAAAATAAAAATATTTTAAATTTATTATGAATCAAAACATATAATCATCTTAATCCTATATTTTATTTTTATTTAAATAATTTTTATTCAGTCAGACACGTTGAAGACATGTCAAATTAAAAAATAATTAAAAAAATTGGGCACTCGTGCCTTAAATATTTTATAAATTTTTTTATATAATTTCTTATATTTCAAATTTTTATTTATTTAAAAATAAAAATTTAATCTTTTATTTTCTCTTAAGAACCCCAAATCAATTGCTCATGCTTAATACCCCACCCTCCAAACATACCATTTTTTTTAAGTAATTGGCAGGTTCGACCTGAAATGATAAATTCTCTTTACTATTTCTCTTTGTATTTGGTTTATCGTTCCTTAATAGTAAGACATCTACAGAATGTGTTTAATTATGTTGAGGGCAATTATTTATAGGCCATAGTATTTTATAACTTTTAGAGTGAGCAATTGCCTAAAAACTCTTATAATAAAGACTAAAATATATATGAATGGAGACAAATTACCTAAATAATCAGATAATAACCCTTCATATAAAATGTATTTTAATTTTTTTAGGAGGGGCAATTGCCCTTCTGACCAATGAAGGATTTTGTCCCTAGAGCAGGTGCGAAAAATCAAAGATATTTGCACCTATTTTATCTACATATACACTAAATTTTCATCTAATATTAAGACCATAAAGTCTCTATTTATATATTCCAACACTAAAAAATTATGATATTAGGTATGCAATTACTATACACCTTCTATATATCTATGACATTTTATCTATAAATGGGAGCCCCTAATTGCAGTAAAACTCTCTCTCTCTCTCAATATTTCTTAGGCTACAAATTATTTTTCAACGATCTGATCCTGAGCGACAATCTTGCTCCTCTCCCTTCTTGTTTGGATCCTGATCAAAAGATTCTAAGGAGATAGAATGAGCAATCTGAAAGAAACAAAGAGAGTTGTAATAGCAAGGAGACACGATTGTACTTCTTTCAAGCTTCAACATTTTCTTCAAGAGAATATAAGTACTTTGCCTCATGTATTTGTTTAACTCATTATATTTAAGTTCCAAAGAGTTTATTTGATTATCTTAGAATTATATGAAAATAAATTTAAAGAAAAAAATATAGATTTTTTTAAATAATTTAAACTTTATACATTAAAAAAAATTCAATCAATTTTTTTTTTAATTTATATTGTAATCAAAATAAGCCGTTTAATTCAAATCCCAAACCTTTACATAAACTCATAAAGATCAAATACTAAAACTTTTCTATACAATAATATAAATTTAGAAAAATCAATGAAAATGCAAATAGTGGTAATTTCTTTCTATCACAAGTGGAAAGTTTCCAAAATTTTCCCAAAAAAAAAAAATCATAAAAGCTAATTAAAAAAATAAAACATTAATTCAGGAAATTAAAAAAAAAGTTAATAATAATTAACAAAAGGCAAAATCAAGCTATTCACATCTTCTTCTGCTACTTCTTCTTCAACTACAAAGCAACCTTAGTCAAAGAAAAATCACCCTTCTTTCTTCTAAACCCACCAAAAAGCCCAAACCTGATCTTCCCTCCCCTCCTCCTCCTCTTCTCCGGCACCTCAACAATCCTCTCCAACTTCGGCTTCCATTGCCGCGACTTCCACCCCACAAGCTGCTCGTATTCCTTCTCCAAAGCAAGCGTCGTGCACACAGGCCGGCCTCTTTTAGTTTCCTCCTCCTCCTCCCCAATCCGTATCTGCAACTTTCCCGTGTCCGTAAGGTGTATGTCGAAATGCCTAAGAGAACCCCTACCGCCCTTAGCCAGCGACGAGGCTATGGTGACAAAGGAAAGCACAGACTGAAAGAACTGGCTTGGAAGAAGGAAATAGCTGTGGCCCAGCTGAAGCTCGTCAGCTTCAGAGAGCGCAGGAACCTTCTGCCCGATAAAGAAGGAATCGGAGCGGCAAACTAGATGACACGTGTGCTCCCTCATCAGATCCGCCACCTTGACCCGCCTTTTGTACACGGTGACCCGCCCGTCCAGCCCAATAAGCCTCGCCGTCGACGGCCCGGACGGCGGAGTTGGAGAAGGGCGCGGCGGGCCATCTGGGTTGAAGCACCAGAGAAGCATCTGCAAGCTTAGAAACTTGAGCGCCATATGGGGTATTAGAAGTTCTAATGGCGGAGAGTAATGAATAAAAGGCGGAGGCGGAGAGTTAATTGGGCTTTGTTTATATTTGGGGAAAGATAGGACTGCAAAATTTATTTGAAATGAAATTTTTTTTGCAGGAACTCGTGATGGGGTTCGGTAGTGAATGGAGATTTGACATTTTTTGGCATTTTGTCAGCTTTTATGGTTTTATATTTTATAGGGAGTAGTGGCAAGTCTCGAGGTTAACTGCTTTATTTAAAATAAAATAAAATTTACAATTTGTTTTTTAAATTTACAAATATATCATCAAATTTGTATGAATTTATAAGTTTAACATTTAAATTTATATATTTATATTTATTTATATAATCATTTAATATCAAAATTATGATATTTTATAAATAAATATAAAAATTTTGGTGTGATACATCATGCCAAAATTAATTTAATCTAGTTTGAATATCAATGCAAAATTCACCTATAGATTATCCAAACTCAATATTAAAAATAATCTCATAGTTCCACTCGAATATCAACAATGTTGAACAATCATCCAATCACTATTATCAAAGTACCGTCGAATAGTTATTGTCAAATCATCATCCAACTGCTGCCATCAAACTGCTTGACCACTAGCGTCGTATTGATATCGCTCGATCTTCACAATCACTCTTTTCCTACTAGAGCTTTGCAGTCCAACCACCATCATAGATAACTAATACGACACCATCATCTGACCATCATCATTACAAGACCACCATCTTTGAATCATTGCTCTTGACCATGACCATTGTATCGCATTAATGTGGTCGTTTGACTACTATCAAACCATTGTTTCCATATCACCATTATTGGATCACCACTGTCCAATCATCTTTTCAGACCATTGCTATTAGATCACTATTGTTTAATCACTTTCATCGAACCACCATAACTTGGGCCACAATCGTTCGAACGCCTCTCGCCCCTTATCAACCCCATAATATTTTTCATCAATTGCTCCTATTTTTGTAATATCCTCTTCTCAAATATGAGAGATAAGCAAAATATTATCAATTAAAATTAACTGGCCATGATATGTCCACCTCAATAAATCTCCTACATTCAAAATTATACAAATTAAATTATTAACAACTAAAAAATTTTAATATTAAAAAATACAACAATATTGGTATTTTACCACTTGCGTTCCTTCTCGAAGGCGCATTTTTTCTTGTGTCATATCTTATTTCGTACAAAAAAAAAAAAGACCAAAAGCAAGTTGGACTTCCTTTGACCAAATGAACACGAGTGGGAAGACTTGTATTCCAGCCGGCCAACACTACTATTCAAATTCTGCTCAGTAATCAGTTTGACCGCTTAAGATATCGAGAAAGCTGAAAAGTCCAAAAGAAAAGTTAAAAGTTCGGTCCATGGGGGCCATAATAAGACCCAGACGACCGGCTTTTTCTCTCTCGAAACACTGTACGAGGCAGCCCTACCCCCTATGGCCTTCATTAACCAGGAGCCCTTGCCTACGTATACATCCTCAAAATAGATTTTCGGGTCAAATTTGGGTAATCCTAAGCGGAACCGTCCTTAAATAATCTAGTTCGAATCCAACCCGATTACACAAACATATAAAGAATTTGAACTCGGACCTGTCCTGCCCCAAATCCAGGTTGACCCGACCCGACACTTTGACAAGGGCGAGCGCAGAGCAAGCGAGCATCTAACATGAGGCTCTGGGGCAAGGGCATCTGCGCGGGTGCGACTACGAGCGGGCGGGGGCGAGGCTACTTGCTAGTTAGCCGGTGCGAGATTATAGAATTTTTTTTAAAAAAAATTATAAGTTCTTGTCAATTTTAGAATAATGATAATAAATTAATAATAGAGTTTATTAAGTGTATTTTATGGTAAAAATTAGATATTGAAAATACTTTAAAATTTTGTAGTAGTATAAGATAGAAGAACGATGAATTATAAGTTTTCACGTAATTCATTTTGATCTATTGATTGAGGACTTTCACTAATGATCAAGAGATCTAACATTTGTTAACACCTTAAATATAAAAAAAAAAGTCTAAGTTTTCTACTCGAAGAGAGGATAGGTCCAAACTTTGAAGGCAAAGGAATCTTTTGAATAAGTAGTTCTAAGGTTGGACTGGAAGGATTTGTTGAGAATGACAAATCAGTATCAAACTATGATGCATCCAAGATGGGAATATCTCTTTTTTCTCACCATGTTATAAATTACTGTTTTGTTGCCTTGGTTTGATGGGAGAGGAACAATACCAATTGAGCTTTTGCTCTCTCATGGATGATGAGCTTAAAAATTATGCAATTGAATTGGAGATAATATTTGATAAAAATTTTAAAAAATGTTTTAATTTGAGGATTTTATATGTAAAAAAAAAAACAATCATTTGTGACTTGTTTTCAAGATGTCCATAGTTTATTTTGTAGCCATCTTTTCTTTTTTTTTTTAGTATGGAGTATACGTGAAAAGGTTGGAGTAGCTCCGATAGAAGATAAGATTAGAGAGAGTCGCCTTAGATGGTTTGGTCATATAAAACGGCGGCCTTCCGATGACCCGGTTAGGAGAGGATGTATTAGATTTGACTTATGCTATGAAAGGTAGAGGCAGACCTAAAAAGACTTGGTTAGAAAATATTAGGAATGACCTTTCTTTATTAGATTTAAACGAGAATTTGACTTTTAATAGGACACAATGGAGAAAAAAGAGTATCAAACTATGATGCATCCAAGATGGGAATATCTCTTTTTTCTCACCATGTTATAAATTACTGTTTTGTTGCCTTGGTTTGATGGGAGAGGAACAATACCAATTGAGCTTTTGCTCTCTCATGGATGATGAGCTTAAAAATTATGCAATTGAATTGGAGATAATATTTGATAAAATTTTAAAAAAATGTTTTAATTTGAGGATTTTATATATATGTAAAAAAAAAACAATCATTTGTGACTTGTTTTCAAGATGTCCATAGTTATTATGAAGCCATTTTTTTTCTAGTATGGAGTATACGTGAAAAGGTTGGAGTAGCTCCGATAGAAGATAAGATTAGAGAGAGCCGCCTTAGATGGTTTGGTCATATAAAACGGTGGCCTTCCGATGACCCGGTTAGGAGAGGATGTATTAGATTTGACTTATGTTAAGAAAGGTAGATGCAGTTCTAAAAAGACTTGGTTAGAAAATATTATGAATGACCTTTCTTTATTTGATTTAAATAAGAATTTGACTTTTAATAGAACACAATGAATAAAAAGAAATCATGTAGCTGATCACACGTAGTGAGATAAAGATTTGATGTTGTTGTTGTTGTTGTTATGTTGGAGATATTTTTTTTTTATTTTTATTCTATTATTTTGTATTTGATTTCATATTTTTAGTGTTAATAAATATAAGAAAAATGCTATATTGCTTAATAACTTTTATTTTAATTAATTTGTTTGGACAATCTGTTCTTGTCTGTATATTATAATATGGCAGTGTAAAATAAATTTAAATATAATTTAATCACTGATTTAAATCCACCCACTTTGGATTATGTCTTTATTAATCCATATCTTCTAGTTGATTTGCGTTAGCGCATGCACTATATATATATTAGTCTATCATTGAAAATATTCAGAATGAGTTTTTAAATCCTTGAGTTTATTTTCTAATAAATGCAATATATTGATAATTAATTAATTTTAATGTTACATTTATTTTTAAATAAATATAATTGATTTAAAATTTCATTTTGATCAAATTTTGATAAGAATATAAATCCACATCTATTTGTTTTCTTATATATATTTATATCACAAAAAATTCACTTTATCAACATGAATCTTGATGCATTATTTTATATTAAGAAAAATTTAGAATTAAATTTAGGTTCATCTAAACTCCGATTTCAGAAATTAGCTTTTGTTATTTTTTTGTGGAATATGATTTTATCGATTAATCGAATCATATTGTTGCCTCGGACTTCAATTTCATAGGTCGAACTCGTTGGGGGTTGAAGGTGGTCCTCCCCCTACTTGGGTTTCAGGTGCTTTGCACTGAATTTGTTTTTCATACAGGGTTACGAAATTGTATAGTTTGCTTGGAGAAAGACATCAAGCGAAGTGTTGTAGCACTCTAAACCTCGACACTACAACTTTGTCAAGTAAACTATAAATAGTGAGTGGATTGGCGCGACACTGCAAGGTGGGCTGAGCAATTTTCTTTCTCTCTTTTCATGAAGGGTTGTGTCCCTTGATGATTTTGTAAGTTTCTCTTAGTTTGTTTGTAGAAGAAATGTGGGTAAACATAGACAAGAAGAGAGCGAGAGAGAAGAGAGAACTATATTATTTCTGCCAAAATTTTATAATGAATTTCTTGGTGTAGTGTGGCTTCGTAATTTTTTTTTTGAAGTTTTGAGTTTTTCCACGTTAAATGCTAGTGTTTTTTCTTTCCACTATATTTTATCTTTCTTGTTCGTATTCACTGCATGGTTTACTTCCCCAATAGCTTATAGTCAAATTGAACATCTCCATAAGAAGAATCCATAGACATCAAAAGGTTGTTTGATCCAAGTCTAAACAAAATCTATATCAAGCACTTGAAATATAGTTGAAAACTTCATGACATTAGTTGGAAAACTAAATCATCTCCAAATGTTGCATTCCTATAATCAAATTGAGTCGCTCGATGAATGAATCTAATGAGTCTAAGATAATTCAATTCTATTATCTTTAGGGTACTTAAATGCTAAATCAATGTTCTATGATCAAAGGATTCAATATGTGTTGTCCAATGAAGTATTATAGAATTTTAGTTGAATTTGCAAAAATGCCACTTCCACTACAGGAAAAAAGCTGAAAACCGGCGATTTTTTCCGGCGGTTAGTCTAGATTTACCGGCGGTTTTTAATGTTACCGGCGGTCTAACTGCGGTTTGTAAACCGTCGGAAAAAATGGCGTAGGAAACCATTTCCGACGGCGTGTTACCGGCGGTTTATTTTTGCGGCGGTTTTCCGGCGGCTAATACCGCCGGTAACCACCGGAATTTTAACCGTCGGTTTGCCGGCGGTTAAAAATCACTTATCAACGGCGGTTTAAACCGCCGGTTCATATTGCTAACCGGCGGTTTATAGACCGTCGGTATTACC